GGCACCCGGGGCCCGCACCTACCCGCGTGAGGCACCCGGGGCCCGCACCTACCCGCACGAGGCACCCGGGGCCCGTACCCACCTGTATGAGGCACTTGCTGACGTCGCTGGCGCAGAGCGCCTTGTTGCAGGCGGCCGAGGGCTGCGCCCGCAGCGCCAGCAGCAGCAGCAGCGGCGGCAGCAGCAGCAGCGGCGGCGGCAGCGGGAGGGCGGCGGGCGCCGCGACGCGTCGCCACCGCATGTCGCCGGCCCCGCGGCGCCGCTCGCACGCACGTCGCAGGGCGCTGCAAACAGAGACACGGCGGCTGAAACGGCTGCGGGAGCAACGGGCAGGCCCCGCTTTCCCCCCCAAAACACTGGGCTCGCGCTTTGGGCAGGAGGATAAGGGACTCGGACAAGCCCGGCCCTTCCTCCCCACTGCAAAGTCATTTATTTGACATTTTCTGCTCTTACACCTCCAGATTAAAATCAAAGTAAACTAAGATGAGCAGTGTGGACTTTGCAATACGTAATATCCTACCAGCACTGATTAAAAAATACATGCACTGATTAAAAAATACATGAAGACCCAAATTCTGCACATAAAGACCTGGTATTAAAGACCCAATTTTGTAAAGGCACAAAGAAGATGTATATTTTTCATGCGTATTCTGTGAGGTGCACACAGGCAGCTCTTCCAAACGCTCCGGAGCCGCACCGGTGCCTCTCCCGTGCTGCCGGGGGCACCTTTGGCTCCAGCTGCTCCCAGGCTGCCCGAACGCTGCCGCATGGGCCCTCAACCCAGCCACAAAACTCCTGTCGGCTCCGGACTGTTCCAAGCACATGGAAAACGGGGCGAGTGACCTCGCACGGGGCAACCGGCGACGGCCCCGCGAGKCAGCGGAGCGGCCGGGCCCCGGGATGGGGCTGGATCCCGGCGTTTCGCCTCCCTCCCGGCCGCTCCCTTCCCACCTGCCCCGCGCAGGGGGCGTTTCGCGGCTCCCGGGAACGTTTCGCGGCTCGCGGGGCCGTTTCGCCGCTCGCGGGGCCGTTTCGCCGCTCGCGGGGCCGTTTCGCCGCTCGCGGGGCCGTTTTGCCGCTCCCGGGGCCGTTTCGCCGCTCGCGGGGCTCCGTTCCCGGCCTCCACGGCCTCGCAGGGCGCAGGCCCCAGGCGAGCGGGGCCGCTCACCGGCCCGGCCGCGCTCGGGGCAGCCTCTACGGCTGCTCCGCACGGCCGCGGCCCCGCGCATCCCGCCCGCCCCCGGCTTTCCCTAAACACCATCGTCCCGTCCTCGCCAAGCCCGCATCGCTCCCGCTCGGCCCCCCGCGCTGCCACCTGCGGCT